ACGGAGTAGAAGTTTATGGAAGAAGATACATGGTATGTAATAGGAAAGGATCAAAAAAGAAATCTGCATATGATACTCTAACAAATTCAGAAAGAAAAAAATACAGAAGACCTTCTATTAGAGTAAACTGTGAAGCATATGTGAGAATGAAGGTCAACAATAATAATGTATGGAGTATATATGAGCTTAAAGAATAGCATAGACATATGTTTATTCATGCAAAAGATAAAAGTTTTCTAAATTCTGAAAGAAGACTCACATTTTCACCAAAAAAAATCATATATAATATGTCAAATATGAAAATGGGACCAAGTGTTGCATATAAATACATGAAAGAGTCCAGGGGTGCTTTGAGAATATTGGAGCTATAGGAACATATACAAAAATATAAAAAGGGATTTGACTAAATTTATTGGATAAAGAGATGCATATTTTGTGAGAGACAAGTTGAAGAAGAAAAAAGATTATTTATAGGATTTTTCATTTGACTATAGTGTTGTAAGTAATGGAGAATTGACTGGGTTGTTTTGGATGGATGATGAAGCAAAATGAAACTATTCTACCTTCAGAGATGTTCTTGGTTTCGATGCAACTTACTGAACAAACAAGTAAGTGACTCCATAATTTACTTATATTTTCGAATTATTTAATTTTAAAATATTAGAATAATGGATCATTATTTTTTATTATAAAAATTTTGTATCAATAGATTTTTTGAATATAAAATTTAAAATAAAATATTCAAAAATCAATTATATATTTAATTTAATTATAATTTGAATCATCATATTTATAATCATTTAGGAAAATATTTAATATTAATCATTTAGGAAAATATTGAATATTAATAATTTCTTTATTGAATCATTGAATGATTATCTTAAATTATATCAAATTTAAATAAATAGTATGTAAGTCATTAAATTATATTTTTGAATCATTCTATTTAGAATCATTAATTTTATGAAATATTAATCTATCAACAATAATAATGAAATATTTTTGAAACTATTTTGTTTTTGGAGATGTTCTTGGTTTTGATGCAACTTAAAGAACAAACAAGTAAGTGACGCCATAATTTACTTATATTTTTGAATTATTTAATTTACAAATATTAGAATAGTTTATCATTATTTTTAATTATAAAATTTTTGTATCAATAGATTTTTTAAATATAAATTTTAAAATAAAAGATTCAAAAATCAATTGAATCTTTAATGTAATTATAATTTGAATCATCGTATTTATAATCATTATTAATAGAGAATAATTTAGGAAAATTTTGTATATTAATAATTTTTTATTGAATCATTTAATTATCATCTTAAATTAGATCAAATTTAAATAAATAGTATATAAGTCATTAAATTATATTTTTGAGTCATTGTGTTTATAATCATTAATTTTAGGAAATATTAATCTATCAACAATAAGGAATTATCTTAAATTACTTATGGATACTACATGCTTTCAAAAAAGCATTTCTCAAAGAACCAAATGTGATTGTGACATATCAAGATGCTGCAATTTTACAAGCAGTATCAGTTGTATTCAAAATGCAAGACATACATTGTGTATGTGGCACATATCACAAAAAATTACTGACAAGGTTAGTATAAAATGATAAAATGTTTTTTATTTAATATAAAAGTTTTTTTTTTAATTTATATGCATGCAGTTGGGAAGTCGTATGGAAAAAGCAGATATTTTGAAAAAGTTGAGTGATCTAATTTGGAATGAAACAATACTCAAAAGAGATTTTGAAACAATATGGAAAAACTTAATGGATAAGTTTCAATTAAATGAAAACAATTGGTTTAACGATATGTACAAAATGAGAGAGTTATGGATTCATTCTTATTTCAAAGAATGCACATTCTCTGGATTTATGAGGATTGCATCAAGATTTGAAGCTGAAAACTATTTCTATGGGATACTCTCTAACTCGAATTTACATTTAATTGAATTTTCAACTCATTTTGATATTGCATTAGAAAGACAAAGATGCATTCAAATAAAAAATGGTCATGATTCAAGATACACAAAACCAGAATTTAAAACTGGATTCAAACTTGAAGTTGAAGAAGCTGAATTCTTCATAAGAAATGTTTTCTTTGATATTCAGAGATTGTTGCATCTATGGTTAGTTTGCATGTTAATCAGATTAGAAGAATCAGAAGAATTTAAAACATTCACAATAAAAGATATAGACAAACATCCAAAACATCATGGCAAATTTGAGGTACATTATAAATTAAAAATATATTACACATATTATATTAACTTATATTGTCTATTTACTACTTTTTTTACACATTAAAATTTTTAAATCCGATAAAACTTTTTTGTTCTTGCTTTAACTTTGAATTGACAAGAATTTTATGCAGACACTTTTTCTATGTTTTAAGAATGGAAAGTGTGGAGAGTTATCCAAAAGCATATTTAACAAAAAGCTGGACCAAAGATGTGGTACCACGATACATGAATACTTATAAAATACCAAATGTCTATACAAAAGAAAAGAAAGAAGAAATTCAATATGTTATATGGGAAGTAGAATTTGGAATGGAGTTCTACATTGATAGGCTGGTGAATTATTTTGAAAAATTGATATTGTTCAGAGATAAAATGAATGTGAAGATGACAAAGGTTGACAATGAAACAAAAAATGCAAAATCAATGAAAAACATAGAAGTTATTGAGACTTTGATGGGTATGGAACAGAAGGAGAAAGTAAACATATTACCTCCTACATTAATCAGTAACAAACGTGTTCAAAAAACAAAGAAAAAAATGAAGGGGAAGAAGGAGACTGCTGCTGAAAAAGCAAAGAAGGATGGGAGAAAATGTCATAAATATGATAAATACATAAAATACGGTACAAGTGTAAAACATGATGCACGGAATTTCCATAAACTCGCAACAAAAGGCACGCCATCTAATGTTTGATAGATATTAAATTTGTTTCATATATTTGTAACCAAAGAATTATATACTGATTAATAAGTATGTTTGATGTTTTAAATAAAATGATTTTCTAGATATTAAGTTCTTATTGAATCATTTTACTCATATATTTTTTTGCAAACGATTTGATTCAAATATGAGTTATAAAGTAGTTGATAAGATTGTTTGAATGTTTAAATAAAGTAATATTCTAAATGGTAAAATCTTTCTGAATCTTCTATATTTTTAATTTTGATGCAAAAATGTTGATACAAAATTATAGATATAATTTTCTATAAGATCTGAAATTTGATTTACAAAAATAAGCAATTTTTCCTCATTAATTTATGAATGAAATTTTTTTAATAAAAATGTTTGATAGTTTGATTAAAATGGTATTCAAAATAACAAGTTATTTTTGATTCATTATATATAAATAAATTTTTGATGCAAAATTTTTGATCCAAAATATTATTTATAAGTTTTTAATAAAATTAAACGGTGTTATAAATGGTAATTTCTTTTTGAATCTCTATATTTTAATTCAAAAACTTTGATAAAAAAATAGTTATTTAACATAAAATTTATTAAAGATTAAAAAATATTAGTGGAATAAGAACAATTTTGATTCATCACTTTATACATGATATTTTTAATATAATGTAAGGGATCTACTTTATAAAATCATAATAAAAGTTTGAATCAATGAAATAACATCATCGAACTATGAATAAAATATGGTTAAAAAAATTACAAAATTATGAATTAACTATAATAGTATTTATCATAAAAACACAATGGGCCACGACCTTGACACTTTTATACTTGGACTAGGCTTAAAAACTTCTAGGGCCACATACTAACATACATAACATTTTCTATGATAGAAGAATAAAGAAATATTTGTTAATACAAATCATATTTTTAGGAACAATTTGTTTCAAAAACATTATAAAACATTATTTTGTATCATATCATAAGTGGATCATAAATTACCATATAATGGCGATCATTCAAAAAAAAATATACATATAAATTTTTAATATATTATATAGACTTACTTAGCATCATTATAAACCAACATTTGTTTCATAGCATAAGTGTATCATAGTTTACCATATGATGGTGATCATCAAAAACAAAAAACAAAACATACATTTAAATTCTAAACATTAAAAAAACAAGGATAATTATATAGTCTTCCTTATCAAATCACATAAAAACAAAAATATTTTCAAAAGTAAACACATCAAATAATCAGAGAACACCTATTCCTTTAACCCTAACTTCAACTTCATGTAAATAACTTTTAGTTTAAATCTTCTTCCTCTTATAGCTTGATAGATTATCATAATCTTCAAGTGTTGTAACAAAAGAAGCTTTGCACAAATTCATGTCTGACAACAACATCTTACAAACATATTCTTCCTTATTTCAAACAATTGCATCTTTTGACTGGTAGACTCAGGCACAAAATCAGCATCTAACTTCTCCACTCCATCACCACGATAAACTTCCATGTGTCTCATCAGAAAAAACTCACAGTCAACAACATTGTCTTTAGTCTGCCTATTTATCTGAAACCTTTCCATCTTCATTATTTTGAATGAATTGACTTTAGGATGATCCAAAATAGTCAAATACTATTTAAACATTGTATTCTGCGTAAATGGTTTTTTTATTAGTATAAAAAAACAAAACAAAAAATAAATATAGAACAAAAAAATAATTACCAAATTATGAACAAAACCCCGATATTTTGTAGGGATCCTTCCTGTAGTTATGTTGTTATCAATCATATCCATCTTTCTGTTGATTAAATAAAAAACAATAAAAAATTAATGTTCTTTCCTAAGAACAAGAAAGAATACATGTTCAAAAATAATAAAATGTTAAAAAGTAATATATATATATATATATATATATATATATATATATATATATATATAATTTAAATAACAAAATATAAAAATAATAAATTAACACACCAAATTAACATGTAAACTTTTAACATGGGAACCTGTTCCAAATGAATTTGAATTTTGTCTTCAAATCATGCATTAATATTATCCCTCTTTTTGAAAAAAATATTTGTCTAACAAAATTAAAAACATTGGAAAATATAAAATTTAAAAAACAATAGAGATCATACCGTAAGTGAGCATGGCTTGAAAAACCTTGAAGAGGTAGTGTGACCTTTATATTTTTCCAGATCATTCAGAAAAGCAGACCATAAATCAATAAAACCTCTATGAATCCTACAACCCGATATGAAAGACTCCATCACGGATCTTATACCAACGAATCCATTGGCAGATTCATAGACTTTTCCCTACAAAAATCAAGATTATAAAAACATATAGTAAACTTTTTAAGATAAAAAGAATTATCATTATAAAAAAACATCAATAAGGAAATACTTGGGATTACGCATAGCCAAAAACAGAGAACCCGCAACTCTTTCTTCCAAACGTGAAACGTGTTCAGTTGTATCAACTTCTTTTTTATGATAAGGTGAACAAAGTGCTAGAGCAGGTTGTCGATCTCTGTTTGGTCTACCTGGCTTGGCATTGATGTTATAAGACTGAATTGGTATTGGAGAAAAATGATAGGTTCCTTATGCTTCTCTGCCGAACTGTTAAGACGAATTGGATCATTTGGATTTGTAAAACCTGCATATAAACCAATGTTTGAATCCAACAAATTCTGCTTGCATAAATTTCAACTACCCATACATGTTTGAATCCAACAACCTGACCTATAATGCTTGTAGAAGATTCACCAATAACCAAAGCATGATCTGAACAAACAGGAGAAGGCTTTCCTAAAGGGTTTGAAATAATAGCATCAGGATCATGAAACTGATTTGAAACAATTGGATGACTCAATATTTTTCTTGGATCAATACTATGATCTTCCAAAACTTCATTTGAATTCATTAACACCTCCAACTGTTCCTGAACCCTAGGATGATCCAAAAATTGTTTCATCGACAGTTGATCAAGTTGAACATCTCTTAAATCCCGACAAAGCGGATCATCTTCATTTTGTTTTTCAACATTCAAAAAATCATTGGAAACCTCAATCGTCTTATTTACTTCTGGACCACAACATAACACAATATTTTGATGAAGTTTGTTAAATTCAACATTTCTTTTATCAACATACTCAAAAATCTATTTATTGCTTGGGAACTGGACTGATCCAATGATCGATGGTAGGCTTCAAATAACTATAACTTTTAAACAAAATATCAATCTTCTCTTTAAAATCCTAAAAAATAATATTAAAATAAAAAGATGACAAAAAAATTGATCAAATAGAATATGATTAAAAAACATAATGCAAAAACATATATACCACTAAAGACTTTAAACCATCAAGAATAATTTCAAATCAAGGAACAGAAGGACTACTATCCATGCAATCTTCATTAACATTATAGTATTTTTCAAAAACAAATTAAAAAAAATACAAAATATATATTAAAAACTTAAAAAAAAAAACTTGCCATCATTTCTCATTTCATCATAAATATGTTCTCTTTAACAAACTTTGTTCCTTTATCAACATTATTGTGACAACCCAAAATTTCCATTATGTACAAACATTATCAAGTCAATAGAAGATAGAACAGTCACAGTAAATTTTCAGACTTTTCCGTATAAGTTTGAGTAATTCAGGGTTTACACTTATGGAGATATCAGGAGAGTGGATGCACTAGGGTTTTGTGCAACTCTGTTATTCCAAAACTCTATTATATTAGAATTCATTTCGTGAATAAAATATTTTCAACCAAAAATCCCAGGACTATATATAGAATTCTGAGCCATATTCATTCATTAGTTACATTTCCAACTAGAGAAAAGCCATCTTCTCTCACACGGATCTTCGGGTTTTCATCCCAAATCGTGAGTAACTCTCTCTAGCTGTATTATATGGCTTATAATGTGCTTAATAACAACGATTTCATAACAAAACAGCTAGATTCGAGAGTTTACTGCCCAAGAACACCTTGGGGAGTAAACTCTTTTACGAGGGTAAATTGATGCCTAGTCCTTTCCCCTTGATAAGTAACCACCTTAGACTTGTATGTTAGTGTTTAAAAGACTAGAAATCATCCATGAACACCAAGAGTAAGGTGTTCACGGCCCAAGAAGTTCTTGGACTGTGAACTCCAAACTCAAGGGCCAAAAGGTGCCTTAATCACTCCTAAAGCCTTGGTCACAAGCATAGATAAGTTCCTAGTTAATTTAGGGATTTGGAATCACCAAAAACCCATCCCCTTGAGAGATTACAGTCGTAATCTCTAAGGGAAATGGTCCCAGGGCCGTGAACTCCTCAAAGGAGTGTATTAATGCCCTAAACCCTTCCAAGGATTAAACCACCAAGTAGAATTGCTTCTAGGGATCATGTAACACTTCAAAACACAAAATGACATTAAGCTTAGGAGCTTACGGCTGTAAACTCAAGAGTTTACGACCGTAAACTCCTTGTGTGAGGTTTATTGGAGAGTAAACTCATGTATGGAGTCCTTTGGAACCCTAAACCCATTAGCCTTGTCCCACAACAACTTAGATACAATCCTTAGGGCTTATAATACTTATATAAAGTGTTTATTATGTTCTAGGATGTCTTAACACTTACAATTAGTAGTAAGAATAATTGGGTGCATATATGTGTGATTATATGTTCATTAGGATCATAATGTGTGTACAAGTCCTCACTTGACACCTAACAATCCTACACCGTTCAGTTCATCCAGACCACCATCTTCAGGTGAGTTCATACCCCTTAATCAATGTTTTAAATGATTTTAAATGCTTTAATGGGGGGAGGGGTTGGGGGGGATACAAGTAGAAAACAACATGTTATTATATCAATCATATGTATTTATAACTGTGTTTTCATTCAGCATATTTCACATACTACAAAATGTGATGCATGAAATGTTTTAAAACTCTTAATTGTCTTACAAAACCATTTCTTTTACCTTCTTGGTCAAAACTATATCTATATACTTATGTTCTTATATATGTATTGATATTATAGTTTTCATCCTTCATTCAGTTTCCCACACTCTTGTGTAGCAAGGGTGTATAAACCTGCTTGGACAACTAATTACCTTCTAGTTAACTATTATATGGATAGTTAGAAGATACAAAACACTATTCCTATTACAAGGAATTACATCAGAGTCAGTTCATTCATGAGTCTATACTATACATTACATGTTACATGCATACCTTACATTAATACCTTTACATTGATACATTTACCTGTATACACTTACATGGATACTTGTACCTCGATTCACTAGGATAATTTATTAGTACCTTATGTGTAAATTGTCATGCCTATCCCAGTTCAACGGGATATCTAGACGGGACTAACCATTTCGGAACCCACCTGTTAGCAGCAGTGGTAGATGAACATCTATGGATGCCTACGGTTATTACTTATACTAGGGGTACCTTTACAGGACTAACCATTCCTTTAACCTGCTGTTCGCTACAGAGGTACATGACCGTTTATGGATGCCTACGGTTAATAATTATACTAGGTATACCTTTACGGGAGTAACCCTTCCTTAAACCTGCAGTCGCTACAGAGGAAAATTGAACAATCTATGGATGTTCAAAGGTTATACATTTCGCTAATCGTGATGTCGTGTTAATCCTAATACAAAAGGATAACACTTACATTATAACATTTTTCCTATTACTTTATTTTGTGATACATTCACATAAATGATGAGTTAGACTAAGTACTTTTAGTAATAGTCAAAAGGAAGAAAAAACTATCATTTTTATAGCAAAACATTCGGGTCTTAGTAGAAGACTACATTTCATACTAGTAGAAATATGGGATTTTCTAGGGTTTTCATACTTATATCAACTGTTTCATTTAAATATTTACATGGCATTCATAACAGCTTTCCAAAACAAGACAATGACACTTAAATACTTATGAATTCACCAGCTTTAGGCTGATACTCGCTTTCAAAATAACTTGTATTCTCAGGTCACCAGTAGACAGGTACGATGGCCAAGTTTTGACAAGACGAAGCACAGACAAGACTCGTCTTTTATTTTGATTATATATTTTGGTGTCTTATTACAATGAAAGAACACAAATGTATTAAAACTTCACTTTTAATTCAATAGATGATGTTGTTGCTTGTTTACTACTTTACACTGTTGTGATACTGTACATGACGTCCTCCACCCCGGAACGTTTCCGTCGTTCTTGGTTTTGGGGTGTAACAGATTGGTATTAGAGCATTTTTTATAGTGAATATAGTATATCAACCCATAAAAGATATACTAACTATAAATACATTGGGATTAGAACACTCTGTTTAAGAGTTATACTTCTAAATAATAAAATATTTAAGTAAGTGTACGTGCCTGCATTCATACTAAAATCAGTGTCACAATGACAAGAACAAAAGTATTACGATTGTTGAATATCACAAGTAAGCTTGGGGATATATGGTCAGTCTTGGGAATGGCATAGCTTGATCAACTATGCTGGTCCAAGGAGTGATTAAAATATGCCCATGAATGGTTGTGATGTGGCAACAAGTCTAAAAACTTACCAACACAACCATAAAGAAATACCATAGGGGTATTTGGTCTTACTGTAATTATCTTAGTCGGTTCGTCTATTTAGCTATTTCTTATATCCCTTTTCTCGTGTAGATTATAATGGCTGGATTTCATCATGGAGACCCGTACTTCCCAAACCAAGGCAACGCTGGATGGCTTGAGGAAGAACCAGAAGATGATCACCCAATCCTTTTGGATGATCACCATGCTGAGGGTTTTTCTGCTAATTCTGACTCGGAGCCTGAAGTCAATAACCTACCCCCAGCTGCTCAAGACCCAAACCTGAACCCCCATCCCGCATTTCAAGGACCCACACCTTTGTGGGCCACTAACTTGAATAGATGGAGTCAGGAACAGGGTCAACCCATTCCCTACAATGGAGACAAAAGTTTCTACAACCTCACTGAGGGAGGTTCTACTGACAGGGTCCTACCCATCATGGTTCGTAGAATTTCTAGGAACACAATACTAGGTCAATCAACTATCAATCGAGTCTTGGAGATTGACGCCAACTCTGGCATTAACACTGTCCGCATTCGCCAACTAGAGTCTGCTCATGAAAGGACTCTGGTCCACAATGCAGCTCTACAGAGGGAACTTGCTGAAACTCAAGTTGAAGTTAGGGAACTTCGAGCTCAGCAAGTGAGAGCTGACAGGCGTATGAGGGACATGGAACGTCTACTGTCGGGATCAAGAACTCATGCTACCAGTTCTCGTCGCCGATAGAATCTCAACGACTCATCTTTTGGATATAACCTAGTTTAGGTAAAAACTTTGGTCTAATTTCCTATCTTCGTAAATCTTAGACCTGTTAGGTCTTGATCTAGTCATAGTTTTGTCAAAAAATTTCCTATCTTGGTTGATGTAAGGCCTACTTATAGGCTATTTTTCCTGAACTTGTTACATCTGTAATCCTAGTATTATTGACAGATATCTAATCATATGGAAATTATTATCCAAATGCTATCATCTTCATTTAGTTAAACTATTCATTATGTTGTTGGACTATGGAGAGTTAGTCCATGAGACACACTCATTATTAATTTATTATTATCCATGTCGTCATCTTTTAAACGTATAGTTAAAGATGCCACCACGCAGGAATCCCAGACGTAACTCAAATAATGAAACACCGATACCACCACCTCAACCTCCTCAACCACCTTCTCCTTTCGATGTCACTATGTTCCAGTCAGCCTTCACAGCAGCAGTAGCAGCTGTTGTGTCAGCCATCAATGCTCCTGTCCCTAGTGGATCGAGAACAGGTGCACATCCCTCAAACCACGGCCAAAGCCATGGACATCCTCAGGAATGCACATACAAGGACTTCACGAGCACCAAACCTCGCAGCTTCAATGGAACTAGTGGGGTTATGGTGT